GGTGGGTAAGACAACTGGATCCCACATGGTCAACTATGCAGTTTGAGTGCTGGACCCAGAGGCTTGAAAAACATGCCGGGTGTGTGTGTGGGCATGGGTGTGTGTGTGGGCATGCATGCCCAAAATCCCAAGAGCAGAATGGAGGAGCAGGGACTGCGGCATGGTAATCCCCTCTGGGGGTTGATTTCTCACTTTCCCCCTATCTCTTCTTCTCTGTCTCTTTCCAGCAAGCTCTATAGCAAACAAACAAACAAACAAATGAAAGAAAGAAAAAATAAAAAGAAACTGGGTTGTTCTGTCTCTCTGCATTTCCCTCTTTCCTTTCTTCAGTCTCTCACTTCCATTTTAAGACCTGGGCTATTGAGGATAAGAAAAGAGAAACAGAATGAGGTCAATTAGCCACTTTTTCCATGAAGTCTGTTGACTTTCTGGATGAAGATCCATTATTAGACTACCTTAAGTCAGATTTGGAATGTCAATAAATGCCTGCACTATTATCCTATGAACCAGAATTCTCAGGTGGGACCTCACTAACCTATCCTTTCTTAAAATAATTGATTGATTATATGTGATACCTGGCTAATGAGTATTTATAGTAGAAGCATGAAGCTTAAATTGCCCAGAACTATTTTAATATCGTTTAGCTTACCCTCTTCCAAAATGTTTGCCTACGACAGCACACTTAGGTAAGCTGCCTTGCACCGATCCTTCTCCAGGAGAAATTCATTAGTATTGCTTTATAAAAATAATATAAAGCTCAAGGCCACTGAACGCAGAGGAGCCAGTTTCTTTCTATCTAACTGTATCTCCTATATGTTAGCAGCCATCACACAATGCATTCCCCAATTCCAGAATGACCTCATTTCCTTATTATAATCCCAAATTGGCAGTTAAATGGAAATAAAAGGTAATAAGCAATCTCTATGTCCAAATGGGCCTTGATTTTTTTTTTAACTTTCTAACTAGTTTCTTTTGAAGCACATTGTATTTCCATTTTTCATCTGCATTTCATCATATTTACATTTCACCCAGGTCAATTTCACATTACCTTTTGGCTTCTTATTCTTGCATGCAAAAGAAAAAGCCTAGGAACAAAGTTTTAGAAACAAAAAGATAAAAAAAAGTCAAGATTCTAAACCGATCTATTTCTTTCTAAAGCCCTTACTAACCAGGAGATAGGCTTAGGTGTGTGTATCTGAAAACGCAGACTCTCGTGCTCATCTGTCAGTAGCTCTGTTCTCTCCATGGTCATCTGGTCTCTCGTGTGGGCTTACATGAAGCAAGACCTGCACCACCCGGGATAAGCTCTTTACAGATAAGGGGCTTACTCTGTCAAAGCCGTGACTCAGAGCACTCCAAATCCCAGCTCCTGGTGAGACCCAAATTTCATGCCGAACTCTAATGTTTAAACTCTGATCTGTAGGGACCAGAAGGTGGTGTGGTGATTAAGGTACTGGATTACCAAATGCTGACTGTGGTTCAAGTCCTGGACCTGGCAGCTTGAAAACCATGTCAGGCACTATGTGTGCGTGTGCTCAAAATCTCAAGAGGAGGATAGAGGAGAAGGGGTTGCAGCATGAGCATCTCCCCTATAGCAAAAACATTCAAAAAAAAAAACCCCAAAACTGACCTTTATAAATATTAGGTTGTAATGCATTCACTCGTAGGGGAGATTTCAGAATCATTTTTCTTTTGTTTTTTAAAGAACTATTTTATTTAACTCTTATTTAGTTTATTTTATTCATTTGCTTATTTCAATTTGACCAGAGAGGAACAGAGTGAGAGAGAAAGAAAGAGAAAGTGAGAAAGCAAGCTGCCAGGTCTGAGACTCAAACTGCCATCGGTCATAGGGGACTCCAGCGCCTTTTACCACCACCCCACCTGCCCTAGCCCTTCAGAATCATTTTTCTAATTTAAGCCTTAGTCAGTAAAAGTGCTTGAGAAAGTGACTTTAAGTTGCCAGTGTCCCTTCTACCCCAGTGCTCCATGTAGAAATGGTATCCGAATCACTTCTAGCATTGTTCTCAAACAGTGGCTGAGTTCCCAGGTGGGGAATACTACCAGACTGCTGGGTAACCCTCAGACACAGCTCCACTTCCGTCCACTGAAAACAGGCGCAGTCCCTGGGAGCCTCACAGTGCTCAGAACCCGGCCCTCTGAGGCCATTTTGTGAATGAGTGAGAACTGGTGGCTTCAGTGGGATGGGTTAGATTCTTACATCAGTAGGTCCCCAGTGCCCTGTGCCCAGGGGCCCAGCCTTCCTTTTCCAAGCCTCCTCCTTAGTTGACCCATTTTTCTCCCATCCCAGAAGATAACACTGGGGGCTGTTCTAACCCTGTGCAGGGGGAGGAGTGAACAGGGAGTGGGGAGGGAGGCTGATGGTGGAGTGAGGACAGGCCTGGATGAGTGAGAGAGCAGGCTCCTCCCTCAGGGCACCCGGACACGTGCCCCGCGAACCTGCGTGTGCGAGCGACTCTGAGCGGGTAGGGAATGCCACTTGGCTGGCTTATTACTAATATAGCCCCATAGGCCCAGGAGAAAAAGGTAAAGTCTGGGGCCTGGCATGGTCGATAATGTTCAACAGTGTATTATTTTAACATCCCTTTAACTAGCTCCTTTCCAGCGAAATACTAAAAATGAAAAATAAATTTTTCATTTATTGTTTAAATTAAAATTCCAGTTTCCACTTTGAACTGCAGCATTTTATCTAGGGAGTCTCAGGACACCGTTTGATGTAATTAAGGTATTATGTGTTAAAACTTGTGTGGCTTCTCGTGTTTACTTTGTGGAAAAGGATGACAGGCACACATACAGTGTCCCAGTGCTGACGCCCCATTACAGATTAACGTGGAGTGTCGGGAGATGGCTTGGCGTTATCTCCGCAGACACTTTCCTTAAAGGTGGAGGAGGGCGGGGGTCTGTTAGCCCATGAAACAGACCACGTCTTCAGATTGTGCCGTGACACGACTGTATTTCCATCCACTGTGCAGTTTGTGTTCTTGATCCTGGTACCTAGCGGATCGTCAGGTTTTCTTTCTCTTTTCAGATTTTCTTTCTTTCTTCCATGAGAGAGAGAGAGAGCAAGCCCTGTAACAAGGTCTTTTTTTTCTTCTTTTTTTGGAGACATTTCTGCTATTAGGCGCGTGTGTTCGGCAGACAGACAGAGACAGAGAGACAGAAAGCAAGAAATCACCCCCCAGGGGGGATGGCCAGGCCGCAATCCCTTCTCCTCCATTCTCCTCTCGGGATCTTGGGCACGCACGCACACGCGCTCAGTGTGAGTTTAAGCCACCGGGTCCGGGACTCAAATCATGGCCGACTATGTGGGAGTCCAGCGACATAGCCATTACGCTAACTGCTGGCCCCACAACAAGGTCTTGATGCCACAGCCCACCCCCAGCTTCAGCCAGCCCTGGATCGTGGGCACACACGTACTCAGCATACTCAAGGACGTCTCCAGATGTGAACCTAGAGTCTGCCCGTGTGGGTCAGCCTCATGGAATATCACATTTCATGGCTGAAACACCATCTGGTCCCTGTACTTTTTATTTTTTTTTCTTTTAAGATGGCCCTGCCTCAGCCACCCCAGCTGGACTGCAGGTACACGCCCCCACACCTAGTTCACTTTAAAACAGCATCCTCCTCCATTCCCCAGGCCATCATCTCGTCTGTGATCCTCCTGCCCCAGCCTCCCAAGCTGCTGGGGTTTCAGGAGCAGGCCACCACATCCAGCCTTCAGTTGGGTCACACCCAGGCCTCCCTTGGGGGCCTAGCCTGCCGAGCACAGCATCGTAGAAGCACACAGCCACCATGGTTGTGTCTGTATTTATGCGGCAGCGAAACTGATCGAAAGCCTTCGTGATAAAGAAACCTGTGTGTCGCTGTACATGTTATGGAGGAGCCTTTTCTTTTTATAGCTTTTCTTTCCCCTTATCTCACCTGCATCTTGTTTAATGCCTTTTCTTCCCCTATTATGGTTTCCAGCCAATAGCTGGATCTTAGCTTTGTCTAGTGTCAGTTTTAGACTCTGAGGTCAGCCAATTATTTGTACTTGGGGACCAACTTTCCTCTTGGTTTAGTCAAAAAAAGGTGCAGGTATCTCTTTGTACAGCTCAAGGATGGCAATATATCCAGGCCCCAGCACAGACTCAGACTGTGGTTAAAAACAAAAGTCAGCTTGTGAAGCCAGCAGGTGGCTTGGTGAAGGGTGCTGGACTCCCACATGGCTGACTGTGGTTCAAGTCCTGGACCTGGTGGCTTTCTCTGCCCCCCCCCAATCTGGTCAAATTTAAATAAATAAATAAATAAATAAATAAATACAGTTAAATAAAATAATTCTTTAATAAAAAAAAGAAAGAAAAGAAAAAGCCAGCTTGCTTTCATTATTTTGTAGGTTGTATCATGCCACTAAGACCAACCAGGGTGGACTCTAATGTTTAAGTCATTGCCAGAGAAGGATGAAAAAGCTGGATATGTGGGCTGATTCCAAATTTCAGGTCAAGAGTTTTGTATCCAGAATGTGAACTCCAGCATCACAAACCCCATCCATACTGTGCCAGGGCTCTGTTCACACTGAAAAGGGAGGAGGAAACTAGGAAGCCCTGGATTCTCTCACCATAGTTAGTGCAAGGACAAAAAGACCAGAGAATGTCCACTAGGGTGAGGCACTATAAAGGATCCGCACTTTCAGATCCTGCAGTGCCATCCTAGAGGCAGACCCCTGGCTCTGCATCAACCCCGACTGGTCTTCTGTCTGAATGGCAGGGCCCCTCAGCTAGGTTTGCAGACTTCCGGCAACACGCAGTGTCCTTTGTGGGGTGACTCCTGACATTAACAGCCTGGTCTGTCTGGAGAAGCACAGCAGATGGGAATGTTTCCTGATGTCCAAGCTTCAGCCCACCCAAGGGCACCCAGGTGTGGCACGAGAGGGGCGGGACTAGGCTTTACAGCTGTGCCGTGTTCTCACGCCATCTTCTTTCTGTCTTTTTCTTGTGACACAGGGCAAAGCACACCTGCAAAAAGACCTTGCTGGAGGAGGTGCAGGAGCTGGAAACCAAGTCCAGAGTGATGGGAAAAGCGATGCTGCGGGATAGCAACGGCAAGAGGTGGGGCAGCTCCATCGGTGCCTGCAGGACACACGGCCCCCAGCCCTTTCCTCCTTGTGTTTCTTCTTCTTGTTGTTTTCACCATGTGCGGGGCTTTAAGCATCTCGGTTATTCTCTAAGAATTTCGTCCTAGTGAGATTGAAATTACACCTTCTCAGAGGCCACATGAAATTTGACTTTCGGGGTCACTGGGCCTGTCCCCAGGTAAGACAGGTTTTTATTAGGTCTGGAGGTGGGCAAAACAACCCCCATGGCAAAAACCGACATCGTAGCATTAGTCTCTGAAGATAGAAAAGTTGAAGTTTTGCAGTATTAAGACTAAAGTGGGTGTAAAGCCAGGCCTTTGGATTTCAGGCCCAATCCTTACGCCCAGAGATGAGCATCTCCTGTGAAGGTTTACGTGCTGAGTAACGCATGCGGTTGGTCATTCACGTGACTCTTGTTGGATCCGCATCCGTATTCCGGGGGGAAGGGTTTTTTCTTTTTTTCTTTTTTTTTTTTGAGAGGTTTTTGCTATAGGGTGTGTGCACTCGCCAGACAGACAGAGACAG